CGTTTCCTATTCGTGACGTATCTACCCGACACGTATAAGCGGCGGCCGTCGGTGTATACCTACCTACGTACATAATAATAAAAATAATAATAATAATGATAATATAATGATAATAATAACATTGTTTTACACGGAACCGTCTTTTTATTTATTATATTATTATAAGAAGTATACCTACTATCTGTAGCCAGCCGATCACAACAGAAAAAACTAGAAAGGGTTTTTGTAATGTTTTTTTTCGTCGTTTTCGGGGTCTCGGGCACGTAGAAAACCGATTTTGAGCTCTGAAGTCAACAGTCACGAACTGCGATGGTTATCGGACGGGCGCGGGTCCCACTGCCAGTTGTTGTGTATATATACGCGCGCTACGTGGATTCGACAAACTCGTCATTATTCCCAGGGTTATATAGACGCTCGAGCGTATATATATACAAGCAGGGGTTCATCAGATAAGACACGAGATAGGTTAGGTACGAATGCGCTAGGGGAAGCCGAAAAACGGGGTAGTTTTTCTTCTTTTGTCGTCTGCTGTAGTACGGCGTACACTCTTTAATAAATGCTCACACACACTCGACAGTGGAAGAAAAAATGAACATTTTTATTTTAATAATATATTCGAACTTCTATGTATATGTACATACAACAACCTACTGTTGTTTTACCCATTTTACCTATATTTGTCGCTAGCACACACACACACACACACACACACACCCGCCGTTCGTTTGTAAAATAAAACATGCTCTCGACGCAGTTTGAATAATAATAAAATAAAACAGCACTTTCGTCTATTAAAAATTGAAATACACTTGGTAAACAAATAACGTTACTATATAAAATTATTATAATAATATCTTGTAACAGCAGTACAACAGTAAAAAAAAAACAAAACACTTATCTAAACAAGAATAGAAAATAGAAAATATCGTCTTAAAAATCGTCGGTACATACTTTGAGTTTGTGAATATTGTAATTATCAAATTATCATGTTTTTGTTTTTATAATTTCTATTGCGTTTTATTGAATCAAAAGTATCATATATACATTATACGGTATGCATAATATAATATATTCAATCCATCTCTGACAAAAGTTGTTTAGTTATTATATGTTAAAATAAGAATCAATACTGGTTGACGACAATTATTTTTATTTTTGTTTACAATAAATAATTGTCCATGGACATTTGAGTTTGACAGATGAACATTCAGTGTTTTCACAAGTGATACATAAATACGTTTAAAATATTATGCATTATTTTATTCACACTTCCCTGCGGGGCTAAGCCTTTTCATTTTTAGACTTAAGTACCTATACTTTTAACCTACACCATACAAACAAACCGTTAAAATCAAATTAAACGACAACTGTGTAAATGAGATGCTGCTGGTTAATACTACATTAAATTATAATTTTATTATATTGCGTTCAGTCTTACAGAAAGTCAAACAAATAATATTTGGCCGGCTATGATTTGTTATATTACGAGATTATATACAGCCTACAGAGATAAAATACTAAAATACAAACATAATTCTTGTAGGTAGTTATGTATAGCTGGTATATAATATTATGTAAGTAGACCGTAGGTGCGTCAGTTGTTCATTTTAAAAATAATTTTTTTTTTACTTTTTAGGAGAAAATCTACAATCTACATTGTCGGCATAATAATAAGTATATGTGGATCTGAAACACAATAGAACACGAGTCATATAATTTGAGGAATGAATGAGCCATCCAGTGATGACACTTTCATTTGATTTTGGTCTTGTGTATTTTTATCATACTTTTGAATTTTTTTTGTTCAATGTAAGATTTTTAAATTAAAAAAAAACTTATTTTTTTATTTTTTAATGCAATTTTGATTTGCCCGCGTTCTTCATAATAGTCCTCCCATTTTCTTGTGCAATCTCACCGCGAGGGCGTTTTTCTCGAAATAATAATAACATAAAATGGAAAACGTTATATCGACGGACTACACCGCAACTATACTGCTCTGGCTGTTATTGAACAGATGTGGTCGACCACCACATGTGGTTGAGTGAATTTTTTCATCCCTTTTGACAATAACGCGCTATGAAATTTGATTTTCACGACTATCGAGTAATAATATATGTATATATTATATTGTACGAATCGCCTAAATTTGACGTTGGCGATGCAAATACACTACACGCATGCGCGTGTTTATATATATATATGATATTTATGTATAATATATATAACATAACAAAACATCATTTATTTCGATTAGCCACGGATACCCACGGGGGTGACACGTATGAGCACTGATTTTTTCTCTAATACCCCGCGACACACGCTGCAGCCTCTTGTCCGTTCCAATAATTCCGGGCAGACTTGTCATCGTCAGCGGTGTCACGAATATATACGCGCCAAGTCGCTGCCGGTGACGTGTTGATTTCACACATGTCTGAGTCCGGAAACGTCAAATCGACTTGAGGGTTTTTTCATTCACATATATATATATTTATATACGCGAGTGTGTGTGTGTGTGTGTGTGTGTGTGTGTGTGTGTGTGTGTGTGTGTGGTGGTTTTTTTCCACACACACCCGACGACATAACTCGGGGGGCGTGGACGGATTTCTGTCGGTATTTTAATTTTCTCAGGAAAATGGTGACAAAAAAAAAAAGAAGAAAATAAATTTGACCAAGTAATAGATTATGTCAAACCGTTGGCTATATTTTAGCATACGATTATTACATAATATTATGATTTTGGCATTACCACGCAAATACGCGAATATTTGATGTGTGTATAGTGTTCAGTACGGATTTCCATATTACATACTATAATATTATTATTCCTGACACATTTTTCAATTATATTTATATACAGCGCAAAGCTAGTAAATGGTTTTTTCCCTCCAAAATAAGGTATTTTCTATTTGACAGATTATTGAATTTAATCTAACACCGTTTTCATCCGATAAACACATTTTTTTTATTTTGAATTAAAATGCGGTTTAGAAAACATAATAGAAATTTGAAGCATATTAGGTTTGACATATTATTATTATATTCTGTTATAAATATAAAATAAATCATGTTAAGCGTGATGAGATGCGCTCAGGTGGTTATTATTCATGTAGCTTTTAAAAATTATTTATAGATCATCTATACAATAACCATCCCCCTGTGACGACACAGGGTGACCCATAATACTTTTAATATGTGTATAAACGTGGCGTATTTATGGAGGGAGGGCAACTGAAGTATTTGCCACTATTTGATTTAAGATATAATTTATCGATTTACCAACTTATTGACGTCATTAGGACGTTGTCAATAACTACTTTGCAATAAGGTATTTAATATGTCCTCCTACCCCCAAATGGTTCACGGCTTCACCACCGGACTATATACCATATAGTGTAGTTTGTATTGTTGTTAATTAAAATTAAATTCGCTATGCAAAACACAAATTAGCTAAAAGCTCGTGCCTACACATATAGTGAGAGCTCGTGAAAATGCGATACATAAATAATAAATACGTTCAGCTCGATCTGCAGTATATATGCATCGTGTTCACTTCTATTCATGGGTTGGCGTATCCACAGTCCATACAGATGCTATATAATCCCACGGTATAATATTGTCGAATTAACCATACTCTAGGCTGATCGAACATTAACTTAAAACTATAGTTTTAATATATTATACATTAATAATCTATGAATATTATGTTAATTATTATGTAAAGTAACTCTCGTATTGTATAGACCGAATATGTTTCAAAGTCGTTGATAAAAAATAGATGACTATAGCTCTGAAAATAATACTTATACTTCAATATTTGTTTATTAAGATGCTCTCTGAAATTCACCTATAATTAAACTTGTACAAATTGATATAAATCTACGTTTTTATTCCTGCTGAATTAATAGTTAAGCTTAAGACAAAACCTGCTATCGAGCTGTCTGTTATTGTATTTTAACCATCCGTTATATATTGTTCTCCGTATTCTGTCAGTCTTTCAAAAAATAATCCTGAAACTACCTATTTCATTTCTTTTGACTCTTTTGATATTGTGACAAAAAAGCTCCGTGATCCTAAGTTCTCTTCAATACAAAAAATAACGTTTTCTGAATAAACATTTGTAAAACATATAGCTAAAGCTTGAATCATCATCACGTCATTATGCCAACGTATTACTATATTTCGACAGTGACTTTGACGAACTACCCGATGTCGTGTTGATAGAAGAGTGTTCTCGATGCGTTTGGTCGCCGGTAAAGTAAAACTACATTTAAAATTTGAATTTATGCATTGTTATAAACAGATCGGGTGGCACCGTAAAATATTATAATCTCCTGTCACTAACCATTATGAACTATCAAATTCGCTTACAATATTAATTTCATTTTATAGACAGGCAAATAATTGGAATGAGATAAAAAATAAATTTATCATATGGTCGTATACGGGACCCGACAATCTGGTCGTTTCGAACCCATCACATACCTTGGTATACGATTACAATATCATAACACTAGCGTATACGAGACTTTGACGCTTATTATTCTATCGATCTCCGCTTGCGCACGCCCGGCCTTATTACAATTGCTAATGCGGCGGTGGCGGCGGCGGCGGGTGCATCGCCATCGCCACCCCCGCGCCGCTCCCGCCGTCAACCCTACCGTCGCCACTCTAGCACGAGGTCCCCCGTGGCACAGTTACGGGCGGCCCATTCATACTTTCGCATATTATATATACACAGACACACATAATATATACATAAACGCGCGTAGTGCATCGCTGACGGCACAACAAATGCGCGTAAATATATATATGTGCACACTATATTATATAGGTGTATTATAATAGTCCCTTTTTAACATGCAAACCGTGTAGCCGCCGTCGTCATCGTCGCCGTCGCCGTCACCGCCGCCGTCGTCGTCGTCGTCGTCGTCGTCGTCGGCACAACTTTTATGGGACGACTGAACCTGCTCGCGCGCGAGCCAGAGGGGTTGTCGCGCCGGTCTCGCGTGGTAGTCGTCCGGCGGTGCGACGGCGCCACGGCCGCGTCCGGCTCCTTCTCGGCCACGACCCTGAGTGACGACGAACCGGTTCGCCGCCGGTAAAAGGGTCGAATTTCGATCGACATTTTTTCCCATTCGGCGTCCGACCCGCGGGGGAGTCACGTGGTGCAGCAGCTGTAAGTGGATGCAGATCGAAAGCCGCAGGTCGACGGGGACGATCGCACCGCCAGATGGCACTGGTGTAGAGTGGACTGTGAAGGGGTAAGTATTATATGTGGTGTGCTAACCTACCTACACATAAACATACGCATATTACGACGTGTGCGTACGTTTTATTTTATTTCCGCAACTCGTCAACGTTACTTTTTTTAGAAAAACTTTTTTACGCGTATATGCGAGTGTATGTACATATATATATATATATATACACTTCTTCCCCAAAAGAGTTTCCGAATAAGCGACCCTTTAATAGGGTTTGACTTGTCACCGGGTCCGCGTGCTAGTCGGTCCTTCCCTTGGGACCATGACCCTTTCGTAAAAAAAAAATTCGCTTCGTTAACATGTTTATTTCTTGTCCCGTTCGCTGCGCACCGGTCGTGTCAATCCGGTTGATTTCCGTACAGAAAAACCGTATTCGTTTTGACGCCTGTCAAAAAACGCCCGTGGACCTCCCATGTGTATTGCATGCACCGCACATACCATTGCCATTGGTCACGACAGACTCTTTTTTTACGTTTCCCTTTGGAAATTAAATCGTTAAGAACGCCGTGTGCACAAAAAAATAGAAATCAATGTGACATTTTGAAATGAAATTCGTCCAGATGTTATATTCCTTCATCGTGTGGTGTGTAGATGTATATAGTCGTAATATATTGTATAATATAAACGCGAAGGGTGGCCCGCACTGGCGCTTTATTTAAAATTAACAACCTGTTTGGATAAAAATATGTGTAAATGGAAAAGGTGACATGCCTAACTTAGTATATAAGCTAAAATTACTTTTTTAGTCAAAAACCCAACTAAAAGATAAATAAAAAATATTATTGAAAAACTAAAAACGTAATAAAGTTTAATCGCACACCTATCATAATGATGATATGGCATATGGATTGAACTATTTAAAAAGTAAATGAACCGCTCGTGAATGTCAACTGATTAAAAAATAAAATGGTGTTTCACAGTGGCGGCGCGAACTTTTTGAGTCTTTGAAGCAAATTGTACATTTTTAATATTTTTACCACTAACCATCCCCTTTATTACATCAAAATGATAATTTACTATGTTGAAGCTATGAAACAATTGCTTCAAATAGTATTATATCCCGCCACCACTGGACTGTTGCAAAAGTATATTATGTTATAGTTTCGTAGAAAACCATAACGATCGGTAGATATAGTAAATTGTAGACATGTAAACCATATGTTTGAATTTTAGATGTGTATGACTACAGCAATTATCTCATAGATTAGATTTCCATCTTTCCTACTTTAATTGTTTGTCCTGAAAACCTTTACACTCTAAAGATTACTTTGTAAACAATATGTTAATTCAATTGATCGCCACATACAAGTGTAAAAGGGGCCCTCACCTTGCACCCTACATAATACACTGCAGCAGTCGTGCCTCGTGCATATTTAACGAATAACCGTGTGCATTTTTTAAGTGTTTCAAGTGTCGCGTATAAAATATATGTAAAATAATTGTCAACCCTTAAATATTTCACAAGTGTATAACTCAGTGGTTTCTAAACAACTTTTATGTGACCGTTTTACCGTGAATGAGTGATGTATAAGTGAAAACCAAAATCATATCGTGTTAAATCACATAGTATTTATATATATAGGCTTGGTTTATAGAAGGTACACTGCTTAATCGGGGGATGAATTATAAAAAAAGGAGAGCTTGTGCACTATTCACTTTGGAAATCTATTTATTACCAATAAAATGGTAACAATTAATAATAAAATAAAAACGGATGCATTTAAAGTTTTAACTGACTACCAAATGAAAGTTATAGCTTGTAAATTACAACAACGTTTTCAATTGATTACAATTTACAATAACATGCTAATTCGCATTTATTTTATACTTTTTTTTTTACAAATTTGGAGTCTTTTCGAACTTTAATTGTTTTGTAACATTATGAATTTATGACCATTATACTAGTATAGACAGCACCCAGTTTTTTTGTGATAATTAATTTATTAATTTATTACAAACATGAAGAACGCATGCGGTTTTCTTTATGTAAAAGTGTAGAAAATTAACTTTCATCTACTACAATTTGTGCATAGTATTGTCGTATTGACATAAGACTATAGTAATAATTTGTATCTTTTTTTCTTACCAACCATTTATAAATGGACCCTAAAAATTTGGGATCTTCGTGCTCGTGCGTATATGCATAAATGGTAAATCGGGGACTGTACTTACTGCAGGTGTGAAACTTTGTGATCAAACCGCCTCATTGTTATGGACAAAACACTCACTATTTTCGATTAAACAACGGTTTTTGCAATGATGTAACAATATAATACTAATATAATCTATTTGTATCTTACTTCAGGGTTAGTGACATTTCAAAGTATAGTCAAACGAAATTTAACACCGTGTACAATCTGCATATAGGTACATATTATACTGCAAATAATGATGTGCAATGTAAGTTTTTCGATGAGTTATTATACTTATTTACTATACATAAAATACGATATGAAGATACAATATACGAACGAATCATAGACACAATAATATGATACCATCATTTTATTTTGAAAATATTTAAAGTACCTATATTATGTTATATCATTACATGATTATTGTATATGATGATATTTTGTACCTGCACATACTAATATACTATATAGTGACTATTTATCGATATTGCAGAAATAACAAGTAAATAATGTTTATAATGTTTATATGTGTAAATGTTGTGTAGATAATGCAATGTGCTTTAATGCCTGGGTCACATGGAAAATTGATTAATTTAATGGACTAATCACAGGCCACTAAATCGTGATTGAAGAACCATTAGCTTGCTACCGATTCATTAAATGTTTAGAGATTGTTCATGCACAATTCGGCAGCATATCTTATATAGATTACGTATTCGCTTGAATTGTGCACAGTAACTTACCTAACGATAGATTCGGGAAGGGAGGAGAACCTAGGGGACTCAAAGTAAACTGTTATTTTTTTTAAAGAGACTTTTTTTATTAGCAATGAGAATTACTTGTCGATTAAAACTGCAGTATTTTGAGTTGATAAATAACGTTGCACATGGCAGTGTTGGACCAGGAAAAATTCCGACCAAAAATTACGCTTCACTAATTGTTTGTTATAAGCCATAATAATATATCGTATTTATATCATGTATCGCAGCGAATATATAATAATGTATACCATGTTGCTCCACCATTAAAATATTTCGACAAATTGAATTGCATTCCAAGCCACATCTACGACGATAATAGTACATTATATTTAATCCGACGTGTTGCTAGATTGTTGACTTTGTTTTTGTAACATGATAGTTTTTGGTCGGGAAAAAAAAAATTTAAAAATAAATAATAATTACTAGCAGAACGTTTGGCTGGTATATTAATTTATACACATAAACCGTGAAATCGTGGAAGTGGTGTACGGGGAGTGGAGGGGAAGGATAAAAAATGGACTTACGCGCTCGACTTTAGAGTCGAAGACATATTATTATTATAACCATTAACCATATACCGCATATATCTATAAGTGACTGCGTTTGGGCATACCTTCGCCGTGTATAACCACTAACGATTATGAACGAACTGCGACAACCGTTATATATAGCTATGGCCGAGCACACTGCTCATACACGTGCGTGTGTATTATATCATAAATAACGGCCTGAAGAAGAAAAAAAAAGTAATATATATATATATTATATTATATAAAAAAAATCCGTATAAAATAATCCCGATTCGTGGGCAGACCGGATAATTTATAATACATATTATTATATATTATTTCTTCTTTCGCCGAACAGAAATAAAAAAAAAAACCATTCAGACTTCTGTCGTCGTGTGTCTTTTTTATTATTATTATTGTTGTTGTTTGGCCCGCAGAATGATTAACCGCTCGTGTGTTATATATATTATATTATACTGCGGACGGCAACAAATTTCTGCAGCGGGTGAGGTCTTATTAATTCGGTCCGATTTGCGCGACCCGTCGGAAAAACGGACGGAGCGAGTGGTTTCTGGAGGAAAAAAATTAATCCCAGTTTATCCTGTCATGTTTTTATTATTTATAACGTCTCACGCGTGCAATCGTTTTTTCGACTTTTCTCGGGCTCTCAAGCTGATTTAATATCAATTTGCCCTAGAAAACATATTTTCTTAATCGTGATTATATTATAAAAATTAATAGTGCGTCGACCTTGAATATTCGATATTAATATAATAATGTCGCGGAATGCGTCCGGCGCCTTTCGTTAAAACTCTCAAAATACAATTTGAACACCATCGTCGTTCAGCTGGAAAACAGAGTATAATTCACAATAATATTCAACTCTGTTCGAGAAGAATATTACCTAGTGGCTAGTATTATAAATATTACCTAATAATAAATATATAAATAAGTGTGCTAGGTATATTTTATGACAGCTGATAACTTGCATTTCTTTCCCCGTAAAAAATTCAAACTCTTGCGCATTATTAAAATTTTGTTTAATTTGTTATTTAATATTCGTCTAAAGGTGTTCAAAAATTAAAAAAACAAATAGAAAATATTTCATTTTAAGTCTGCGGATAGTAATAAGAAAATTATTTTTCATACGGCCGACCTATGTCGTTAACAGATCAAAACAAATAATATTATACGGGATTATGGTTTTAATCCGTGTGAGTAAAGCCCCGTTCACACGATCAAATAATTTGTCAAATATTTGATCGTGTGAACGGAGCTTAACAAATATAAAGACCAATATCAAATACAGCTTAAAATTATATCCTATATTATGTAGCAACAATCTTAGTTTATAAAACCAGTGGAAACCATTCAATATTTATATGAGAAATACTATAGGTACTTACTAATTTGTACTATAACTATTATAATCTGTAACCAGTGCAGACAACCATTTATAATCAGAACATACAATTTTAAGAGTGAATGTCAAAAATCCTTGAATGTGTGAGTGACTGTTTAAACGTTTTTGCGAATTTTGGGAAATCCTTCCTTAGACACCTTTACACCAAATTCAAGTCCCCATAGCTATGATA